CTGTGATTCCCTCTCTCTCTGACCCTCCCCTGCTCACTCTCTCTCTCTCTCTCCTAGAAATAAATAAAAACATTAAAAAAAATTTAAAAATTAGAACATAATGCCAGATTTATTCTCAATGACAGAGAACTGAAAGTAATAGTGACTTTGAAGTCAATTCAACTATCAATCCATAAGCATCAATTTGACCTCAATACAAGTAAAACCTGCTGTTGAATAAATGTTAAAATCTCAGCAAAATTCTGTAACAAAACATAAGATAGTGATTAAGGGTGAAAATTGTAGTATGCAGAATTTCTCCTGGTTTATAAACTATTTTTCTTGGCTTCCCATGTGAAGACCAAAGTCTGCTTTCCATACCTATTTCTGCTCTTTGGCTTCCCCTTCAATCACTGCCAAATGGAAGGTTTCCCTTCAGTCGAGAGAGCAGCATCCCTCCACAACATAGTATCATGTTCCGTGGGTCCTTCTGGAGTATGGGGAGATTTTTATGCTTCCTTAGTTGCAGAGTTAGTTCCATGGAATCAGAGCTAACACTCTCCTCAGCTCAGTACTCCGAAACGGAAATACTGATTGGAATTCCATCCTGACTGGCTGGCTGTCATAAACACGTCAAAGGAAGCAACTAGGGTGTATAATACAGATCTCCTGTGCTCTGGCTAACCAAGGGGTCTAGATAATAAAGGGGTGCCAGTCATTCACAAACTAGTTAGGTTAGGACATCAATAAATCAGTAATCTGTATTTAGTAATACAGAAGACACAATGCAAAATAATGTCTAAAGAACACATATTTACCAAATCAGTTATGCATATATGAAACTCATCCTGCCCTATATGAGAATTTTTCATTCTGATTAAAAAAATTATTTTCAATGTTTATTTATTTTTGAGAAAGAAAGAGAGAGACAGAGTATGAGCTGTGGAGGGGCAGAGAGAGAGGGAGACACAAAATCCAGAGCAGGCTCCAGGCTCTGAGCTGTCAGCAAAGAGCCTGACACGGGCCTCAAACCCACAGGCCACCAAATCATGACCTGAGCCAAAGTCAGATGTTTAACTACCTAAGTCACCCAGGTGCCCCATGTTCTGATTTTAATAAAGGTACCCAAAAGAACCAAGTAGATGAAAAGATAAGAAAAATGCCAGCGCAACCTAATTTCTTAAAAGAAAATCAAGTCCAAGCCATGTGACAGTTCACAACACAAAGTTAAACATGCTGAACCGAAATCTGATCTAATACTTCTCTAATACTTCATAGTATTAATGTTTCAAGTCAAAATATAGTTTTATTAACCTTCTAAAAACATTTAAATATAGCAACAAATTTCTAAGATGATCACCACACTGTCCTAAAAACTATACTTTGAACTAAAAAGCAGAGTCACTTGTTGCAGCCAAGGAGATACACTGCATGGATCACCGTTTAAGAAAGAAGCTTGCCCTTTGGCTGCAGAGAGTGGAGTAGCAGAGCCACCAGCTGCTGCTTTGAGATCCATCACATCATCCAAGCCTTTATATCAAGGCCTGGCTCTTCCCAGGCAGCCCCCAGCCAAGGACTGAGCAGTGGGGACACCCGGGCCTGGCCACTTCTGCCCCGTCCTAGACTCATTCGCAGGGGAACCCTTGCTCTGGAGCTCCCCACTGAGCTGATCTCAGATCTGCACGGCAGCCTGGGACTCCTCGCCTCCCTCAGTCTCCTGTCCACTATCCTTTTACAGACGACAGATCTGCATCCAAGTCTAAAGCCCGTCACCTAATGCTGCTTCGTCCTCCTACAGCTTTACAGGCCTTACCCCACAGCAAACCTCTTCCATTTCTACTCCATTTCAAGACCTCTTTACCAGATGCTATGCCAAGATAATGACCTGAACTGATCTTTTCCAGATGATATGCCAAGATCAAGACCTGAATTGACATACCACTTCTCTTACAAAAATATTTAGTCTATTTATAAACGTTTCTCACACACACACACACACACACACACACGAACTTTAGCCAATCAAAACAATTATTTTACAGGTTTAATCTACGGAACCTCTAAAACTTGCTCTAAATCTTTAAAGTTTGAATTTAATGTACACTTTAACATATTAACATTAATTTTTTATCTAATACCTTACACTTAAATAATTTTTACCACATATTTTCAACTTCAATAACGATTCCTGTTAAAGGAATACACAATCTTAAATTCGTCATTGAATAAAACTGCACTACAGAAGCATCCATATTATGCTTAAATCTTTTACTGTTTCCAAAAGAGCTAATATGCCAGCTAAAAATAGTTAATTTGTACGGGGGCGCCTGGGTGACTCCGTTGGCTGAGTGTCCAACTTTGGCTCAGGTCATGATCTTGTGGTTCGAGAGCTCAAGCCGTGCACGGGGCTCTGTGCTGACAGCTCAGAGTCGCTTCGGGCTCCCTGCTCCCCATCCTCTCTGCCCCTTCCCCATTTGTGCGCTTGCTTGTGTGCACGCTCTCTCTCTCTCAAAAATATACATTGAAAAAAATAGTTAACTACATGGCATTAAAGCATACTAGAAACAAGAATCATGAAACCTTTTTATTTTATGCAACATTTTAGAATATACAAAACGTTTCTACAGATATTATCCCACGGGATCTTCGATCACTCTGCAGGTGTTACCATAGGCTTTAGATAAGGAAACTTAGGGTCAAAGAGATTCTTTGTCTCAAGTAAGAACTAGAATCCAGGGGCGCCTGGGTGGCTTAGTCGGTTAAGCGTCCAACTTTCCGACTTTCGCTTAGGTCATGATCTCGCGGTTCGTGGGTTCGAGCCCCGCGTCGGGCTCTGTGCTGACTGTCAGCTCGGAGCCTGGGGCCTGTTTCAGTCTGTGACTCCCTCTCTCTCTGACCCTCCCCTGCTCACGCTGTCTCTCTCTCCTAGAAATAAATAAAACATTAAAAAAAAAAAAAGAACTAGAATCCAGATTTTTACTGGTGGAACTGACCTCAAACCACAGGGAGTAATTAACAGAACTGATGGCAGTTAATATTTTCTGTTATTCCTAACTGATCACTTGAATAAAAACAAGAAAAAAACCTTCAGTCTTTATCTGGTCATTATCAAAGATCAAGGTACCCCAGCACTATCCTATCAGGCAGCTGACCCCATAAGAACAAAGATTTTAGAGATTTGTGAAAAATAAGATTAATAAAACAAAATGTGTCCAGAAGCCAAGAACACCAAGAAAAAAAGCACACTGCCCTGGAAATCTGTTTACATGATTCTTCACTGATACACTTTTACCGTTTAGCAGAAGTACAGAAGAACTTCTGTGAGCACTCAAATCAAAGAAACTGCAAAGTGGCCACTACGTGGGTATTTATTATTCGTGACCCTTTTATGCCCTCGCGTGCTGTGAGGTTCCCATGCGGAATCTGTGCGGAAGCGGCAGCACCCGCGCGTCAGAGACTGAGGTGAGATTAGGTGTGGCCTGGAGCGAGGCGAGCAGCTGACAAGCTGAACCCTCCAAGGCGAGGTGGGGTCGTGAATGGACTGGGCGTCCCACTGCCGTAGCTCAGACACTAGCTGTGACGGACGGTGACGTGGGAGCTGCATCACACTTGCAAGACACTGAAGGGGAATAGAGACTCTGAAATGCCACCCAAGAACCTTTTAAAATAAACAGAAATTTTTTAAGCAGCAGTATGAAAAACAGAAGACCCAGCTGGGCCGGTGGGTGGAGCCAGGACTAAGAGGAACAAAACCGGGCGCCCCCGACGGCCTGCAGACGAGTCACGGGACGCCCTGTGTCTTCCTCCCCCATAACACTGTTATCTGCCAAGCCACCTCAGCAGTTGTAACAAAACAAGACAATGAATGCGAAAAGCTTAGTAAGCTGAAAGGTACACTTAAAAACCACCCACCTGCTAATATTCAAATTAAATAGCTCCAAGTCTCTAAGAAATGTCTTAATAATGCTCCGGAAAATCTTATAAAAAGCACTTTTTTGCCATGATACTGATGAAGCTTTTTTTTTTTAATTTAAATTTGAGCTTACATACAGTGCGATATTGTTTTCAGGAGTAGGATTCAGTGATTCATCACTCACATGCGACAGCCAGTGCTCCTCAGCAGTTCCCCCTAATACCTGTCCCCTTCCAGCCCCCCCACCACCCCCATCACCCCTGCTTGCTCTCCACAGTTAAGTCTCTTACGGTTTGCTGCCCTCCCCTCTTTTCCCCACCTTCCCACGAGTGAAATCATATGGTTTTTGTCTTTCTGATGGACTTACTTCACTTAGCATAATATAGTTTAGCTCCATCCATACTGTTGCAAAATGGCAAGATTTCATTCTTTCTGATGGCTGAGTGATATTCCAGTGTGTGTGTGTGTGTGTGTGTGTGTGTGTGTACACCACATCTTCATTATCCATTCCTGACGGTCCTTTTGAGTAAGACAGGGATGAAGTAGCAAAAGAACTTCGTAAGGTACTGTGGTAACTGCTTACTTTCAAATGTGATTAGTAACCTGCGTTGCTCTGTTTATGTATGTCTCACAAAACTTCAAGGTAAAATTTTCTCTTTATAAAAATATGATTCATAAGAACCATGTTTATCAACATTTTAAATAAAAATTTGAACATTTTGATAAATACTATTAATATCAATGTTTAAGAATAATCAGAACACACAGGGCACCTGGGTGGCTCAGTCGGTTAAGCTCAGGTCATGACCCCACGGTTCGTGGGTTCGAGCCCCATGTCGGGCTCTGTGCTGACAGCTCAGAGCCTGGAGCTGCTTCAGATTCTGTGTCTTCCCCTCTCTCTGACCCTCCCCTGCTCACACTGTCTCTCTCTCAGAAATAAATAAAACATTAAAAATTAAAAAAAAAAAAGAATCAGACACTGACGATCTGAACATTTCTGGACATATAACCCACAAAATGTGCCTTCATATTAGAATGAAAACTTCAGCGAAGTGGTAACTAACAGCCAGCACTCGGGGAACAGGAAGATGCCGCCCACCGTACTTACTTCTGCACGACGCTCTGCAAGCTTAACATCATCCCCAGCTCCCCCTTCATCTTCTCTCTGTTGGCTCGGCATTCTGCCAAGTACCGAAGCGCCTGCGCGAAAGCAGTGGCAGGTTAATTTACAACTCCGGACTGTTCAAAACTAAAGTCATTACTAACTTACCACAAGAGGAAAGAAGATGAAAAATAGGTTTTTGTTTTTAGAATCAATGGTTTTGAAGTATTTAGAAACTCTTCTTTAAACGCAATAATCCCAGCAGTCCCCTAGGGAAGAAATGATCCTTCAAGCTAAAGTATCTGAATCTGCTCTTTGAAATAATGGTCCCTAACTTACCTGCAAGGTCAAAACTGGGTTGCTCCGCCTTTATTTTCACCACTTCATCTCGACAGAGAGAGAAGGAACCACATTCCATTTAATATTTTTAGGGAGTAGTCTCAATAGCCACCATTTCCTCCTAGATGCTTTTTACATATTAACTAAACTGCTGAGTGAGACAAAACATACAAACACCTTTACAGAATAAACTGTCTCTAGTTTTATAATTCACCTTTAACATATCCTTTTTTGGACATATTAAAACTGAGCCTGGGTAGCTCAGTAGGTTAAGCGTCTGACTTCGGCTCAGGTCATGATCTCACAGTTCATGGGTTCGAGCCCCGCATCGGGCTCTGTGCTGACAGCTCAGAGCCTGGAGCCTGTTTCGGATTCTGTATCTCCTTCTCTCTCTGACCCTCCCCTGTTCATGCTCTCTCTCTCTCCCAGCAATAAATAAAACATAAAAATTTTAATGTCCTTTTTTATTGAAAAACAAAAGATGAACTCACACAAATTTCTACTTTGTGAGTTTAACTTTTCTAGGATGCTTTTCTCTTAAAACAAAGTATATTTTTGCAAGTATTTCCTCACGTGCTGATTCTCTAAGGATTTCATTTAGCTGTTCTACAGATCTCCTAATCTCAATCATTTACCAAATACTTTGGTACCAGATTCTCAGGAATACACCCACAACTCTGCCATTTCAGCCTGCTGACCTTCACATTTTCTACTGGTCGTCTGGACTACCTTTCCCAAGTGCCTGGTAATTACTGAAAATGGTACCATCTATGAAATCTATCCTTTCTGCATCTCCTCCCAACCTTGACGTTCATTCACTTCAGTCCATAAAAGATTAACTGCCATGGGGAACCGCACTCCACCCACAAAAAGCCAACAGGTCAACATCTGTTAAACACACTTAAGAAGAGGCAGCAAAGGACTGTAATTTCTGAGAGAAGAGAAATATGAGGGGGCCTTATAAGTGCCCCATCTTACTGCTCTGGAGGCGGTTTTCAGACTAGCACAGGGAGGGGGAACCCAAATGGAGCCCAGTGGTCTTGCTGAGTTAAGGATGCAGAGATCAGAGGTGGGAGGTTAGGGTGGTGCAGTAGAAATAAAAACCAATATTTGGTCTTTCTCCAGTCCCTGGTGCAAAGCAGCTAAAACCCCTGGAATTTTCTGAGTGACAGCAGTTTCTTTTGTTATTCGTAAGGCAGCCCTTTTGATGACACCTGGGTTTATGTAAAAGAACTGAGGTAGGCTGAGGCTCCAAGATAGCCTCAGAATAGGGCTGGTCACTAGTAAGACCAAGAGATTAGAGGGTGGGAACTTTCAACCCCACCCACTGACTGGGGTAGGGAGGTGCTGAAGATTAAGCTCTTTAAAAACTCTTGAACAGGGGCACCTGGCTCCATCGGTTTGACTCTTGGTTTTTCTGCTCAGGTCAGGATCTCAGTTCCGGGAGTTCCAGCCCTGCACAAGGTCTGTGCGGACTGCACAGTGCCTGCGTGAGATTCTCCCCTTCTCCACCTCCCCCTGCTCACATACTCTCTCTCTCAAAATAAGTAAGTAAACTTTAAAAAAATTTTTTTTGTTAACTCTTGACCAAGGAGGTCCAGAGTTTCTGAACCGGCGACGACATCCACCCGCCAGGCACACCCCAACCCCACAGGGACAAGCACTACTGTCCTCAGGGCACTTCCAGACCTGCCCTGTGTACCTACTCATTTGTGCTCTTTACAATAACTGGTAAATGTTAAGTCAAGTGGCTTCCTGAGCTCTGGAGACATTCTATAAATTATCAAACTTGAGGAGGTAGAGCCTGGAACACCCAATTTATAGCTGCTCAGTCAGAAATACAGGGGACCTGATACCGGCGACTGGCCTTTGAAGTGAACACTCCCATGGGAATGAGCCTTAAATTGGGGGAGTCTGACACTTAACTCCAGCTGGGTAGTTTCAGAATCGAATTGAATTGCTGGACACCGAGCTGGTGTCCACACAGAAAGTGAGAACTGGCTGGTGTAAGGACATACCCCCGGCGGCTAGAATGTGCAGAACAGAGTAGGGGAGAGGAAGGACCTGACCAGGAGGGAAGAAAAAGCAGTAGAAACAGACCAAGATGTGACAGAGATAAAATTAGAAAATAAGGGCATTAAAACAGCTATTAGAAATATGCTCCATATGCTCAAGGATGAGTAGGAAAACATGAGCATGGTGAGGAAAGAAATGGAAGATGTTAAAAATCCCCAAATGTAACTTCTAGAGGATGAAAACATAATACCTGAAATGAAAACAACCTTTAATGGGTTAAGAGATTAGACACTAAAGAAAATAAGATCAGTGAACTTAAAGCGTATCAATAGAGAGGCACACGCATGGCTCAGTTGGTTAAGTGTCTGACTTTGGTTAAGCATCTGACTTTGGTCAAGTCATGATCTCGTGGTTCGTGAGTTCAAGCCCCGTGTGGGGCTCTGTGCCGACAGCTCAGAGCCTGGAGCTGCTTCAGATTCTGTGTCTCCCTCTCTCTCTGACCCTCCCCCGCTCACATTCTGTCTGTCTCTCTCTCTCAAAAACCGAACATTAAAAAAAATGCCCTGCTCCTATATAAAAAATATTTTTAAATAAAATAAATACAATGTAGCAATAGAAACCATCCAAAATGAAGCACAGAGAGGGAAAAGACTTAAAAGGAAAAAACAAAAAAAGCAGCACAACAATGTCCCTTCGGACGACATGAAATGCCTAGCATGCATGTAGTTGGAGTCCCAGGAGGGGAGTGAGGAGGCATTAAAAAGAACCTGAAATGATAACGGATGACAGTCTCCCCAAATTAATAAAAACTATAAAACCACAGACCCAACCAAGCAACTCAACATATCCCAGACTGAGAACAAAACCAACGCACAAAGGAAACCATCCATACCAAGCACATGATGATAATTTGCTGAAAAGCTGTGATAAAGTCACAAAAGCAGTCAGAAAAAGGAATTATGTAGAGAGGAACAAAGAAGCACAGCAGTCTTATTAGAAATCATACGAAACATAAGAGTATTGGGGGGCGCCTGGGTGACTCCGTCGGTTAAGCGTCCGACTTTGGCTCAGGTCATGGTCTCACAGTTCGGTCTGTGGGTTCGAGCCCCACGTCGGGCTCTGTGCTGACAGCTCAGAGGCTGGAGCTGCTTCAGATTCTGTGTCTCCCTCTCTCTCTGCCCCTCCCTGCACACACTCTTTCTCTCAGAAATTAAAAAAAAAAAAAAAAGAAAAAAGAAAGAGTATAGCTAATAAGCCAATCGTGAAGACAAACTTTAAAAACAGCCCTGCTGCTCTTCCACCCCAGTGGGAACCTGCACCTGCGCACCCCCCACTTTGTCTCTCGCTGTCCCTCCATGACTTGACTTCCCTTCCTGGTCAGCCTGGCATCTACAGTCTGTCATTTTCACCACTCTCTTACCAAAATCCTAAATGCCCCTTCCTAGCCTTCTGTGTAACTTACCTGGCCAAGGATCCATCCTGAACAAATCCAACTATCTGCCTCCCAGGGCCTACAGCGGCCTGAAGGAGGTGAAAAAAGGGTTTTGTGAGCTGTAGGCACCCTGTGAATCCAGTGTTACCCAGCTAGTCAGGCCCTCAAACCTGCTGAACAATCTCCCCTTTCTCTCTTCAGTTCGCAACCTGTCCCATTTTCCGTAGCAATTGTAAGCGCCTCCTCTTCAAACTGCCTCCACTCTGGCAGCCCCTAGCCTTCTGAATTTAAATAGGGCCAAGTCCAGTCCACCAAAAAACAAAACAAAACAAACCCCACACCTTCTTCCTTCTACCCCAATACCTATGAGACCAACTCTCTCTCTCTTATCCTCACTGTGATTCACACCGAAAGAAAACCAAACCAGGGGCCATGGAAAGTTTCCCGTTTGTTCTATTCACTTGTCTCTGTTAAACTTCACTCTATGAAGGTAAAATAGAAAATCTGTATTATGAAGTTTGATTTTTGAAAGGGAAAATGCATTTATTATTGCTCTGTACAAACTTGTAAAATTATACCAAATGGGGATTCTTCATGAGTCTCTAGGTAAAGGGCAAGGAGTTTGTGGGGCACCTGGGTGGCTCAATTGGTTAAGCGTATGACTCTTGGTTTCGGCTCAGGTCATGATCTCACAGTTCGTGAGTTTGAGCCCCATGTCCAGCTCTGCACTGACAATGTGGGCCTACTTGGGATTCTGTCTCTCTCTCTCTCTGCCCCTCCCCTGCTCTCTCTCAAAAAATAAATAAACAGAAAAAGGCCAAGGAGTTTAAGATTTATTTTAAAATAATTTTTTTAAACATTTTTATTATGATTTTATTTAAAAAAAATTTTTAAGTTTATTTTAATTTATTTTGAGAAAGAAAGAGAGCAAGCAGGGGAGGGACAGAGGGAGACAGAATCCCAAGCAGGCTCCATGCCATCATATGTTTATCGCTGATTTGTTCAAATCAGTATCCAAAAGTCAGGTCCACATATCCTTGGCTGCTGCTATGTCTCTTAAGTCACTTAAAAAATGTGTATTAATTAATTAATTAATTAATTTAAAGCGAGAAAGCCAGAGAGCGAGGGAGGGACAGAGAGGAGAGAAAGGATCCTAAAGGGGGCTCTATCCAACAGTGAGATCATGACCTGAGCCGAAACCAAGAGTCAGACATTTAACCGACTAAGTCACCCAGGCGCCTCTCTTAAATCACCTTTAATCTTTGACAGTTACTATTCCTCTCTTCCACCCAGCTGCCTTTCTTTTTACTGCCATTTACTGTTCACACAACCTGATTATCTGTCCTCGAGAAATGATCACTTTCTAGATTGGCCTGATTGCAGTGTTCTTTCATATTTCTCTAGTTCCTGCATTTCTCATAACACGGTAGTTCCTTCTACACTATTAGCTATGATCCTGTATGTTTTTCTCCGTTCTTCTCCTTTCCTTATCCTTCCCTCCCATCTTACACTAAAATAAGTGCTATGTCCATCTGCTGAAAAGCAGAGGAGAATGCGGCATTTCCCTACAATGGAGTCTTACTTGGCCATAAAAAGGAACACAGTACTGATATATGCTACAAAGTAGATGAACCCTGGAAACATTATGCTCAAAGAAACCAGTCACAAAAACCACATATTCTATGATTCTATTTACGTAAAAAATATATAGGCATTTTTCCCCAAACAGGCAAACACACAGAAAGAAAGTGGCTACTTAGGGAAGGGGCCGGGGGGCCGGGGGGCAACAGGAAGGGGACTTCCTTCCTGAGGTGATGAAGATGTTCCAACGCGGGGCTGTAGTGACGGCTGTGCAACGCTGTGCGTACACCAACAACCAATGAGCGGTACACTCTACAGAAGTGACTTGTATGGCATGTGATTCAGACCTTAATGAAGGTATTACAAAATAAAAACAAAACAATAAATCTCTTTTTAATGTGTCTATCCATACAAATATAACCCTAAATATTTCTTGTTAAGTGAAAGAAGGAAGCTGCAGAACATTCCACGCATATAATATGCTACCATTTGTGTCAAAGGTACGTATGTGTTTGCACATATAGAAATACAGACTCACTGCTATTTGCTCTATAGTCAACTTTAATTTTTCACCAGGTCATCTAACATTTTCAAATTCTCCCGAAATGCAAAACCATAACACCGAGACTGAAATTACTAAAGGCAACTTACGAGCAAAGCCGAGTGGACGACAGGGGGGTTGGGATGGTCCATAAATAAAATAAGGCCCGGCAGGCATCCCTGATCCTGAACAATGGCTCTTCTATTTAATGGATCTGCTGCTAGATCGCGTAGCTGGTTAACCACCGAGAGAGCATCAGGTTCTTCATTCATGGTGGAGGAGGAAGAGTTCATCTTCTATGCCATACACATGAACAAAATCTTCTTAAATTCTGTAGAAATGGTTTGCAAAATTAGCTCTAGGCTGCTGAGGTATATTATGGCATTTGTTAAATATTCAGGATTACAACACCCTTAGAAAGAAACAGATGAATCTAAATCACACAAAAACTTGAGAATTGGCAATTCCACAGTTTAAGTAAAATGAACATAAGAGTACTGACTAAAAAAAAAAAATGAAGTTATTTGTGTGTGCACAATGTTTAAAGAACATATGTCATCTTCAATATTCCAATAAATTCAGGTTTAGCAATACATATTTTAACACTAAAGTCACAATAAACAAGATCTTTACAGTTCAAGCTCATGACCTTCACTGTACTTCTCAAATCACACCACTGCCAGAACTTTTTTCCTCTAGAACATTTCTGGAGCCTAAAACAAGTGCCTCAGGGAAAGGTGGCTAGCTGAAAGCCTTTCTCTTATTCATCTATGAACAAACCCAGCATACTGGATTTACAAAAGATAAACTCCCCTAGAATAAAGGAGGGAGTCAAAGAAGGCTGTGAACAAAACAGCCTCACCCCGTGTCTGAGGCCCAGGGAGTTGGGGAGATCATGGTGAATCTGAACCGAAGCTAAGTACACCTGCCCCATATTCGGAAGAATGAAACAGAACTTGAGGTAATTTATTTGACAGATAAGGAAACAGTCAGAAGTTAAATAACTTGCCCCAGGTGACAAAAGCTTGTTTGTATAGAAGTGGGCTAAAATCTTATTCCTAAAGTATTTCCACTTTTCCATACAGTCCTTTTAAATTCAAATATCTTTTTCCCACAAAAGTAAACAGGGTATTTTAGAAAATATAACATGCTAGACATACAAAAGCCAAAGGAAAAAATATCAAGGAATAATCATCATATATGTAGAAAGTTAAAAATAACTTCCATTAACCAAGTGACACAGCCTATTCCTTATCAGTAAGAATATTAAGGTGTAAATACTTTTCACAAATCAATCAGTATGTTTATTTATTTTTTTAGTATTTATTTTTGAGAGAAAGAGAGAGCTAGAGCCAGGGAGACACAGCGAGAGAGGTGGACAGACTACCCAAAGTGGGCTCTGTGCTGACAGCAGAGAGCCCAATGGGGGCTTGAATCCATGAATCACAAGATCATGACCTAAGCGAAGTCAGATGCTTAAACAACTGAGCCATCCATGCATCCCAATCAGATGTTTGATTCCAATTTCATAAACAACAACAAGTAGGGAAGGAGAGGAGGGACAAAATGTTTCTCTAACTCAGAAAGGCTATTATTAAAGACTATTTGGGAGCGGGGGCTGGGGGGGTGGGATAATAAAGCAGAACTGGCCTTACCAGGTATTGAAACATACAAAGCTATAAACAGTAAAGCGGGGGGGGGGGGGGGGGGGGGAGCACAGGACAGTAGAGAAATACTTCTCCCTGGAAAGCTATTCCTATACATTCAACATAAGAAAGCAGTGAGTCAGGGGCACTTGGGTGGCTCAGCTGGTTAAGTGTCCAACTTGGGCTCAGGTCATGATCTCCTGGTTCCTGGGTTCGAGCCCTGTGTCGGGCTCTGTGCTGACTACCAGCTCGGAGCCTGGAACCTATTTCGGATTCTGTGTCTCCCTCTCTCTCTGACCCTCCCCTGCTCACACTGTCTCTCTCTCTCTCTCTCTCAGAAATAAATTAAACATTTTAAAAAAATTTTTTAAAAAAAGAAAGCAGTGAGTCAGACTAAGGCTACACTACTTGTTAAATGTGATTTCTGGCAAATCCCTTACTCTGTCTCAGTTTCTTCATCTGTAAAATAGGGCTAATTACAGCAGCTACCAAATGGTATACTAAGTAAAATGAGAATACCTGTAAAAAAGGGTTTAGACTGGTGCCTGACACATTGTAAATGCTCAATAAGTAACAGTTTTAAGTTGCATGGAGCCAAAAATCAATAAAAAAAAATTGTAAGATTACTCAATAAATGGTATTGGAATGATTTGTAAGCAATTTAAAACCACGCTAAGCAAATTTAATTCATACCACATAGCAAAAAGAAATCATTAAATATACATTAAATTATCTAAGTATGGAAACAAATGCAAAACTGAAGGACTCAGAGAAAACAGGGCTTTAGCAAGATAGTATTTGGCAGGTTATTTTCAAAAGATGAAAATATTACTGTTACTAGAGCAATTTAAAAAAGGATTTAGAAGAAAGCAATAGACTGAACACGCAGCTAGCTAAGACTGACAGGTTGGGGGGCATGCTGCCTCTTAGGTGCCTACAGATCGGCATCCTGAACATCCCTGTTTACAAACTAGCTTACCAGGAGTTTACGTGCTGGCACCAGCAGGAATCTTATCCAAAACTGGAACCTGAAGAGCCAATTACTGGCTGAAAGGCAGAAGAGCCAATCCCATTTAAGAACCAAGTGCTCTGGATGATGTCCCTTTTGCAGGGCCTTACAACTGGAGCGCCCCATTCTTAACTTGTTAGAGGGGCGCCTGGTGGCTCAGTCGGTTAAGCGTCCGACTTTGGCTCAGGTCACGATCTCACGGTTTGTGGGTTCGAGCCCCGCGTCGGGCTCTGTGCTGACAGCTCAGAGCCTGGAGCTGCTTCAGATTCTGTGTCTCCCCCTCTCTCTCTGTTCTTTCCCTACTTGTGTTCCGTATACCTCTCAAAATTAAACATTTTTTAAAAAGGTGTTAGTAACTATTTAGTGGGAATGAAACTGAAAAGGTTATGGCCTTTCCTGTTCCTTTGAGATGAATATGAGTCAAAACATTTAAAACTTTCCATCTTCAAAGCCCGTAGACCAGGAGAGGGCTCAAATCCGGACCTGCCAAGGAAGGGGGCAGGAATACCACAAAGCACCCAAACCCTAACCCAACACAGGCAGACGCTGGAGCCAAGCGCTGCATTTCCTTCGGCACTTAACTGAAGGAAAGAAAGGTAGACAGAGCTATGATTTCTCCCCCAACTTAGATGGGTTTCTGTAAAACCTCCAAGAGAGAATTCCTCAGGGTTAGGTAGGGTTCATTCTTCTTTCCTTATCTAATATTCTTGCCAATATCAAGTTGCTCTGAGAATTGCCTGAATCCTGCTAAATGATCAATATTCCTGTACAACAATTCACAAGCAGCTTTTATAAGATAGCTATTAACAGTTGAGAAAATGGAAACAGATAAGTAAAAGTTAGATTCATGTATTAGATACAATTAGTCTTTCTGTATTAACTGTATCATTTTCACACACTCAGGTTGTTTGATAAAAATGTTAGCCTTCATAGGCCGGAAAAAATGTTGTTTAAATGACATTATTTCGGTATTTATTCTATCCTACCCTCTCTTATTCCTAAATTTGGCAGATCTCAAGATAATTTTTAAATAATCTTTTAAATATACTGATCTGGGGAGCCTGGGTGGCTCAGTTAAATGTCTGACTTCGGTTCAGGTCATGATCTCCCGCTTCATGGGTTCAAGACCTGCATTCAGCTCTGTGCTGACAGCTCAGAGCCTGGAGCTGCTTCGGATTCTGTGTCTCCCTCTCTCTCTACCCCTCCCAGCTTGCACTTTGTATCTCTCTCTCTCAAAAATAAACATTAAAATAAATAAGTATACTGATCTGAACAATTTTATAGCAACCTATGAACCATAATATAAGTTAAAAACTCTTCCTTTCTTCTACAAGGAGTACTACATTAGGTTCAAGAGAAAATAAGCTTGCTTTCTAATTGCATTTTTCATTTAAAATACTAATGCCAAGAAATGTGGATTTGGATAACCTACATCAGACTAAACTGGGATTATTATTAAAATGCAGATTCTAAGGCCCATACCTAGCCCTCACTAGGAATTCTTGGAGGCAGGGCCCAAAGCATCATTTTCATAAGCACACCAGGTGATTCCTGGTGCAAATATGAGCAATTAAAACTTCACAGTGGTTGATAAGTACATTTCTTTTTAATATGGTTAGAGACACATGAATGAAACCTTGAACGTTAAAATTCTACAAGATACTTTAATTTCTTGGCAACATCCCTGTGATTTGGGCACTATGTTTTAGTTTTACTGCCATATAAGCAAATGAATACACTCAAAAAACCACTAACAACAGCAAACCTACTGGCTCCTTCCAAAGAAAATGACTGGAAGCCCCTGATCAAAGGAACAAAACTGTGGGGGGAAATTATGGTGGGGAATTTGTGAACTGACGGTATGTGAGTAAACAAAAGGTTCTTGAAACTTTGTTAGCAGTAGTATTTAACATCTTTCTTGTCTCAATCATTTTATTTTTTTTTGGCCAGTCCCTGCTACAAGTTAGTCTTTAATTGCTTTTTAAACACTCTTTTCTAAGTAAGCCAAGCTTGACGATACAGACATACGTAAAGAAAATCAGTCTCACTAGCAAATGAGAAAACTGTGAAAATATTTCCTAGTCTATTGGAACAAATAGATACAATGCACTTTTTTTTCATTTGTTTTGTTCAATTTGGACTGATCATTCTAAGACAATACTGTATCCTCCCCAAACTTTACTGAGCTCCGATTATCTAAGGGATCTTGTTAACAAGCAGACCCGATTCAGCAGATGGAGTGAGGCCTGAGATTCGACATTTCCAACGCGCTCCCAGGTGAGGCCTATCCTGCTGGAAGTCGGAACGTAGGTGACCGAGGTGAGACTGTCATTAAGCAGATGCTTGAAAGGTTTTCTTTTCTTTCAGCCAAAACTTACCATTTAACTCAAAGAACAGGTGAGGTCTCTGACAACTAAGAGCTGCAGAGGGTACACACCCACAACCTAAAACCATATTCAGTTAAGCAAGTTTTCAAAAAATATCATAAGCATGGAGTTCATATCTGGCTCTCCCTTAATTAGCAACTAAATGTTCGAGAAGTTGGGGGTTACCCCGTTAGAATCCCCTAATAATCTTGAGTGATGGTCAGGATCCAAAAAAAAAGACTTGAAACCACAGAGCGCAGCACCAGCAATTGCCAAACACAAACACTACTTAATCTCGTGGGTACCTCCACTCGGCCAGTACCTGCCCTAACACATCAGTACACTCTCACCAAAGGGCTGCACACCGCACGAAGGCCTCCAAGACCTTAGGACATACAGAGATGTGAACGCCGGTTTCCCCTGAATGGGGACAGACACGACGCCCTTCCATTCTCAGCAGTAGGTGCAGGGGCACAAAACACCAAGTTTCCAGAGAACAACTGGAGAGACGAAGACGACGCCCGTTAACAGTAGGAGGGTTTGTGAGCCTCGGGCGTGTGGGGACGGCGAGGAACGGGACGCAGCTAACGTTCGCCCCGGGCTGGCGGGCACGCGCCGCGGGGCCGCGCCGGGAGAGGCCGGCCGAGCGCCTCGGGGCCTTCCGGGCGCCCCGCTCCGCCCGCCGCCCCTGGACACTTACGCGCCGCGCCGGAGCTTCAGGAGTCCAGGGCCGGCCGCACCATCGGGGCCGCAGCACGAACGGAGGAGACGGGCCCGGGAGGCGCGGAGCGGGCCCCTCCGTTCGCAGCCCGGCCTCGCCGACGGCAAACGAGCAGGGAAGCCTGGGGGCCGGAGAGCGAGACGCTGGCGGGGACTCCGCGGCCTCCCCCGTGACCCCGCCACGTCCGCTAGTCCCGCCCTCTCATTGGCGGAGGCCGCGCCAACGTGAGGGTGAGACGCCCAGTACGCGAAGGCCTTCTTAGGCGAACGCGCTCATTGGCGACTTGGGGAGGTGCCCCCGGTGTTAAACGGAAGAGTGCAATGAAAGGCCAAGAACGCTGGAATTGGACCAAACGACGCTCCGTCCACGAAGCACTGGGCCGGGCAGCGCGCTTCCGGGTGCGGCGGCCGCGGCCTCCCAGCCACAGCGGCCGGCGGTGCGGCGCCGGGGGCGGCCCTGTGCGCTGCGTCCGGAGCTCGGGCGCGCCTGCTGTTCGGACCGCCGCTCAGTTCGAATACAGGATTTTCGTGCGCTTCTGTGGCTCTTCATTCACAGTCTTTGACGTTTCTTCCGTTTTTGGTAAGAACATTAGCAGTAAACTAGGCGTTCCGTTCGTCTGTTAGTGTCCACTGTCTTCCTAACCTCGGGAAAGCTGCCAAGTACAGTTTTTTGTTTTAAATAACAACGTCTTGGGGCGCCCGGGTGGCTTAGTCGGTTAAGCGTCCGACTTTCACTTAGGTCACGATCTCGCGGTTCGTGGGTTCGAGCCCCGCGTCGGGCTCTGTGCTGACTGCCAGCTCGGAGCCTGGAGCCTGTTTCAGTCTGTGACTCCCTCTCTCTCTGACTCTCCTCTGCTCACGCTGTCTCTCTCTCTCTCTCTCTCTCCTAGAAATAAATAAAAAACATTTTCAAAGATTTTTAAAAAAATAACGTCTTTTTTGAAGGATTTTTTTTTTAAGGGAAAAGGACTTCTAATCAATACTTGCTCAAATTTCTCATGACGTACTTTTAAAATCCTGTCTTCTATTTTGTTTATCATTGTAAAGATTTACAGACTTTTATCGGCGAGAGTCACGGGTTTTGTGCCCGTGTAGATGCTGCTTGCGAAGCTTTCTGAGTTTACGTGCATCTACGTTCCACAGGCCGGTCCGGGAACGACGCATCCGCCGCGCGCAATACCTTCACCGAGAGGACTCCAGAGTCTTTCACGATTTGCTTCTGCCACATAGCTCGTGGGTTAAAGTCTCAGGGAATTCGAAAACCTTCTAACGGGGAAAGTGTGGTTCAGAATGATAGCTCCAGGGCGCGTGGCCGGCTCGATCCATGGAGCCTGCTGGTCTCGATCTCCGTGTCCCGGGTTCAAGCCCCAGGTTAAGTCAGCATAGAACTTAGTTTAAAAACAATTAAAAAAAAAAACAAAACAAAACCAAAAAACCTCTCGGGCTGTGTTCTACATAATTGTCTCCAATACTTCGATTTCTAAGCGAATTTAAAATCCAGTTACGTCTCAAACTACTTTGCCTTTCTTCTTAATTATTCTCTTTCTTCTAACAAGCTCAAGAACAGGAGCGAAGTAGAATAGAAAAATGTCCCTTTCCCACCATTTCACCTACAGCAAAAACGAGTGAGAAGTGATGCATAATTTCTAGTAGTAGAAGCACCAGCCTGATTTTTAGTAATCTGCCAGATCAACCAACTGCTGGAACTTAGGGGAAAAAAGGAAAAGTTAAAAAGGAGATTGTGGGGGCGCCTGGGGGGCTCAATTGGTCGGGCAGCCGACTTCGGCTCAGGTCATGATCTCAAGGTTCGTGGGTTCAAGCCCCGCGTCGGGCTCTGTGCTGACAGCTCAGAGCCTGGAGCCCGTTTCCGATTCTGTGTCTCCCTCTCTGACCCTCTGCTGCTCCCGCTGTCGCCCTCTCTCAGAAATAAAATGTTAAAAAAATTTTTTCAGGAGATTGTGATACATTTACAGTAAGAAAAAAGGCTGTAAAAAATATAGGAAATCCAAAGGTCATAGACAGGTTAAACATAATCCATTTGATTGAGTAAATGATATTTTGTTCAGTATTGTTATTAAAAACAATGCAATAGCCCAGGAAAGTAAACCTGCTATTTTTTCTAAAATCAATTTATCAAAAAGGGAGAAGACAATTGGGATTTTTCCCAACTAACAACTGATGACAGATTTTTGGCACTGTTCAGAATATATATTCCACAGAGTCCTTCTCTTTTAGAAGTTCAAAATCTAAAGTTAAATATAATCATGCCTCTGACATTAAAGTATTGAGAAGACTAATTCTTCGCAAACTGCTATTACAGAGAGTTAGATGACTGGCATTAAAAGACAGGGGATGTGGTCACAAAAATATAATTAACAATTTCATAATCACCAATGGACTACAAGCCTCGGGAAGTTTAAGATTTTAAGAATTTATATTCCTATATTAAAAATCTATGAACTTGACACCAGTAAAGTTATACGATCTGCCGTTATGAGTCATTGGTAGTTCTGAGCCTCAGAGAGCTTGCCACAGCACGCAGCTGGAATGTGGTTTCTCAATGACTGTGTTGCTTAAGACCAGGAATCAGGTAAAGGCAGTTTCATTTCTTCAGTTATTTATTTACTTATTTTAAAGTGTTTATTTATTTTGAGAGAGAGAGAGAGCATGTGCACGTGCACAAGCAGGGGAGCAGCAGGGAGCAAAGACAGATATTCCCAAGCCAGCCCTGTGCTGTCAACACAGAGCCAGATGCAGGGCTTGATCTATCTCATAAAACCTTGAGATGGTGACCTGGGTCAAAACCACGAGTCAGACACTTAACCGACTGAGCCACCCAGGCACCCCATTCACTTATCTTAGAAATATTTTCAGAACACATACAATGTGCTAGAGACAGTCTTAGCAATGGATTCAGAAATACAAGAAAACATAATCACTGCCCTTAAGTTTGTGGTCTGGTATTGTGGTTTCCAAATATTGTGGTTTTTGACCAAGTTGTTATTTCAGGTTAAAAAAATTTTTTGAGCACACAGTTCTGTTATATGTATATTATTTATTTAAAAATTCTATACACAGGGGCGCCTGGGTGGCTCAGTCGGTTAAGCATCTGACTTTGGCTCAGGTCATGATCTCACAGTTCGTGGGTTTGAACCGCACGTCGGGCTCTGGGCTGACAGCTAGCTCAGAGCCTGGAGCCAGCTTCAGATTCTCTGTCTCCCTCTCTCTTTGCCCCGCCCCAACTCATACTCTGTTTCTCTCTGTCTCAAGAATAAATAAGCATTAAAAAAAATTTTTTTTAATTCTTATACACATACTATCAAACTAATATGTAGACTTAAAACATAACAAAATAGAAAATTTTAAAGGATGAGAAATAATTATAAACGTACTTGTATGTATCTGGATGAAAATAAAATTGTGTCCATTTACATTACTTATCAAAAACTGAAATTCCAGGGGCGTCTGGGTGGCTCAGTCAGTTAAGCTTCCGATATCAACGCAGGTCACAATCTCGCAGTCCCTGCATCAGGCTCTGGGCTGACAGCTAGAAGCCTGGAGCCTCTTCAGATTCTGTGTATGTGTGTGCCTTTCTCTCTCTCTCTGCTCCTCCCACCTCTCAAAAATAAACATTTACAAAAACCTGAAATTCCAGATGGATTAAAAACACAAGTGTAAAAAATATCAAAAATCCTTTAAGAAAATCTTGGTGACTGCATACAACAATATAGAAGTAGAGGAAACCTTAAACAAGGCTAGAAACTCAAAAGTTAAAAAAGAAAGAAATGAACATATTTCATTTGTTTTAAAAACCAATTTTTTTGTATGGCAAAAAAATACATGAGCAATGTTAACAGACAATAGATATGAGGGTAAATTTGTAACTCACTTGACAGAGGTTAATCAATCAAAATTGGATTCTAAATTGTCAAGGAAGGAATAAACAACCCTATAGAAATTGGGTAAAGAACAAAAATTAGTATGAATCAAGAGAAAATCCATGTGGCCAATAAACATGCAAAGATATTTAAACTCACCTATAATAAGGGAATGCAAATTAATGTGACAATGAGAATAATGGCAATGCTGATCAGAATGGCAAAAACTCAAAATGACAAAGCTGATGTCAGGGACTGATGGGTATGAAGAGAACTCTCAGGTTTTGCTGTGAAAATGTAAATTATAAACTTTTAAAGAGCAGTCTAGTAAAATCTGTTTTTTTATTTTTTTTAACATTTCTTTATTTTTTAGAGAGAGAGACAGAGTGTGAGCACGGGAGGGGCAGAGAGAGAGGGGGACACAGAATCTGAAACAGGCTCCAGGCTCTGAGCTGTCAGCACAGAGCCTGATGCGGGGCTCGAACCCACAAACCGTGAGATTATGACCTGAGCCAAAGTCGGACGCCTAACCAGCTAAGCCACCCTGGCACCCCCCAACCCCCTCCCAGCAAAATCTATCCTAAAAAATAATAAATTTTTTGACCCAGCAAATCTTCTCAAGAATCTAAAGCATAAAAATCATCAGTATAAAGAGACATAAGAACAGGGGCACTTGGATAGCTTAGTCAGTAGAACATGGGACTGTTAATCTCAGGGTAGTAAGTTCAAGTCCTATATTGGGTGTGGACCCTACTAAAAAAAAAAAAAAAAGGCTAAAATAAAAAAGAAAGACGTAAGAACAAAGATGTTTATTGCAATATTGTTTATATTGGGGAAAAAACCCCACCAAAAAAAAAAAAAAAAAAACCAACATCAAATGAATACATACCAATTGTGAAATGTTTTAGTAAATGATGGTATATCTACAGGCCATGGACCATTATGAAAAATATATTGGAAAACATTTAAGGAAATGAGAGCTAGAGGAAGAGATACAGAGAAATTTCCAGATTGTTAAGTGATAAAAGTTACTTCAAAGTATATATACATACTATGGTCTTGTTTTTGGAAACAATAACAAATCATATCCTCCCATCCAACTACTAACCGGGCCTGACCATGCTTAGCTTTTGAGATCAGACGAGATCAGGTGTGTTCAGGGTGGTATGGCTGTAGACTAACAAATCATATCCTATACATGTTTATGTAAGTGTGTATCATTATACGTTATTCTATGAGCATGGAAGACATAGAGAAAGATACACTCTAGGTTTTCAGCATATATTACCTGAACGGGTAGGATAGCATCTGGGACACTAGGTGCTCATCATATGCAAAAAAATTAAAAATAAATTAACTAGCTTTATTGGGGGGGTGTAAATATAATTTTATACATAATATGATAAATGTCCATTAAGTAAAATCGTATGTAAGTGAAATGAAATGTAATCAACAAAAATCTAGATGGTATTTTGTAGTTTCAAGGAACTACTTTTGCAAGTATGAGAGTGATAAACTTGAGGCAGGAGTATATATTGTTAAGAGGTAAGATGGGAGGCTGGTGAAGTTACAGAAAGACTTACCCAGTGACTCAGTGTCTATAGGATCTCATTCAGGAAAGCTACATAGTGCCATTTGGGTCAAACAAATCTTTTTGACCACATGCTGGTTCTATGCCTTTGTATTAGTCACTTGGCTACAAGGACCTCAATCTCCTCTAAAAAAACAGATCGTAGAACCTGCCTTCCAAGATTGCTTTAGAAATCAACAATAGTGTGAGAACGCCTAGCCCACTGTCTAAAAGATGTTTCATAAATGTACATTTAGTCCCAATTCTCTCTGTATAAAAACCTGCTCTCCTGATAAGAGCTAATTTGTAATGGTAAAATTCTTGAGTGTTTACTGATACTAGCAAAATTTACAAAAGAAACATCACTGGTCACCTTCAGAGAATATGAAGAAACCAACTCATTTTTCTGAAAACTAATAATGAAGAGAATCAAAGCAAGCAATAAACCTGCCTTTTTTTTTTTTTTATGTTTTATTTATTTCTGATAGAGACAGCATGAGCAGGGGAGGGTCAGAGAGAGAGAGATACAGAATCTGAAACAGGCTCCAGGCTCTGAGCTGTCAGTACAGAGCCAGACGTGGGGCTTGAACCCACGTGAGATCATGACCTGAGCTGAAGTCGGACGCTTAATTGACTGAGGCACCTAGGTGCCCCAACCTGCCTTTCTTATATTTCAGGGTAACAAAATAGTTGATATATGTTAATTATTCTGAAAACTGGTAAATATTAAAGAACAAGAATTCAATTTGCTTTTCCTTACAAATGTGCCTCAAGGTAACCAGCTAATAAATGACACATACAGCCTCACCTTGACTTAAAATGCCCCTTACATGGGCCCTTCACTGTCCTACCCAATGGTCTTTTGCCAGTTAGGTTTTTCTAGATTCTAACTCAGAATCTCCTAAGGCACGTTTCAACATGTTGTATTTTCTATAGACAGGCAATGGGAGCTGGAGAAAATGCAAGACTAGAGAGAAAGAGTCTTGATTTTCAAGGAAGGTATATTGAAGACTTGCAAATTATTCAACCTATCTCACCAAATGGGATTGCCAATAGACCTAATATTGGCCCAGGTCTTGGTTTCTAAGAATCATTCCAGTGCTCCTTGGGGAAGTGGCTGACTCTAATACTGGGGCAGGAAAAATACAAGATCAGCTTGGAGACTTTTGTAGTTCAAGAAAACAGAATGTGACCAAAAACCAAAAAAGACACAGGAATCGACCGAAAAGAGTTCTCAGTGGCTAAAGCTGGAACAGTTTGAGCAACAAAATAAAAATCATAATATAAAATATAAACAAAATATAAAATACACACGACTCGTTAGAAATAAATGATTGAATGTAATAAAGAGGCAAAATAAACAAATCATACTTAGAGAAGAATTCTAAATTATGTACATATTTCACTCCAGGAGATAAAGCTTAATCTCTTATGACCCCTTGGGTGGGTAGGTATAGTGACTTGCTTCCAAAGAAGAGACTATGGAAAGAGGGTAAAAAATGCAACTCTAGGGGCGCCTGGGTGGCTTAGTCGCTTAAGCGTCCGGCTTCGGCTCCGGTCATGATCTCACAGTTCATGGGTTCAAGCCCCGCGTCGAGCTCTGTGCTGACAGCTCAGAGCCTGGAGCCTATCTTCCAATTTTGTGTCTCCCACTCTCTGACCCTCCCCTGCTCACGCTGTCTCTCTTTCTCAAATATAAATAAAACATTAAAAAAAATTTTTTTTAAGTGCAGCTTTATAGTGGAGAAGCTAGTAAATACTAACCTGGTCAGATGATCACAGTTAACATCAGCAGAAATAAATCATGCTAGTATCATGTACCCTATGATATGATGTGATGAGAAGGACATCTCAACGTGTGAAATTTCTCTCAAACCTTATAACCCCGGTCTAATTATGAGAAAAACAGCAGACATATTCAAATCAAGGCATATTTTATGATATATCTGACCATACTGCTCAAAATTGTCATAGCCATATCAAGATTATGAAAAGGAAAAATGTAGAAACTGTAATAGACCAGGAATCTAAGTAAGGAGGCATGATGACTGAATGCAATGTGGCATCTTGGATTGGATCCTGGAACAGAAAAAAGGACATTAATAAAACCTGAATAAAGCCTGGAATTTAGTAAATAGTGAAGTATGAATGTTGGCTCCATAATTTTATAAATGCATCACAGTAATGTAAGATGTCCGCATCAGGGGAAACTGGGTGAGCAGTAGGGACCTGTTAACTATCTTTGCAACTCTTCTGTAAATCTAAAATTATTCTAAAATAAAGTTTATTAAAAGCAAAAAGTGAAGCAACCTGCTCATAATTTCAAGTGTGATGACTAGAAGATTCTCCTCTACTTTCTGGCTCAGCACATTTTGCACGCTTTCTCATCCACCAGCCACATACTTCTGGCGCCAAGTGCCAGGAGACACAACGACCGGCCTTTTGTGAGCGAGACGGCAGACGACCGGGCTAGCAGTATTCTGGGAAGCCGTTCCAACATGTGACTTGGCCTAACTTGTCACTAACGTAGCCTAGTTCACGCAGATCCCCCAAAAGCCCAGGGTTACTAGTGGGCACGGAGCACGCAGAGAAGTGTGAAGACAAGGAAGCTGGAAGGGAAGACAAAGGTAGGTCTGAACCAACCTGTGTGAAGGTTTCCTAAGACATCTTCCTACTACAGAGTAGAAAACCACAGATGACCTCGAACTCAGTGCTAGCATCTTGGGTCTTAGAAGGGCTGCTCCAAGCCAGGGGGCCTGAGCACAAATTTTACTTGGCTCTCAGTAAATCTACCCTTTAAAGACCTCACAGGAAACCATTAAACTTTGCCAGAAAGGCCAGGACCCTTTGCCTCCAGTCCTTCGGCTCAGAAGCACCCACTTTCGTCAAACGTCAGCTGAAGCAGCCCCTGGAAAGCGTTCCCGAGCCGCTGGGCCGGCCGAGGCAGGTCTCCCAGGCTCCCTGCACCCCTCCGTGCCAGCATTTGGCTAAAAGAGTGTGTTTCCATCTTCCTGTTAGCACGCAGGCACACCCAGGGCGTGGCTCGCGGCTTTTATAAACTCTACTGTCACAATGGGCCACCAAGCCCGGGCCGACTCAACGGCGCGAGGCTCCTGAAGCTGGGAAGCCTCGCGGCGAGGGCGTGGGCACCGGGGACCCGCAACGGCCCGGCGCCGCCCGCGACCCGCGGGACCAGGGAAGGCGAGACACAGCCGGGCAGCAGCGCCCCTCGGAGGGCCGTAAAGAAACGCGGGTCTACACACGCGCTCGTGCGCGGCCCCCGCGTCACCGCCGTTTCCCTCAGCTGTGACACGTAACGCTCCTCACGGCAGAACTGCTCGAAACCTAGTGTCCCAGGACATTCGACTATTAAAAAGCACGTGTCCCCACGAAGCCGACTAAACGGATGGCGTAGCTGAAGACAGTAACACCCCCATCCGTGCTTTGTACACCGCGCACCCTCAACCCCCTTAAACAAGCCCCGCCCGAGACGAGGGTCACGTGGAAACTCTGCCGGGTGAACACGAGTCCCAACAGCGTGGGAAGAAAGGTCTCAACGTAAGTCGGCTTAACAAGGGCTTAAGATTCCCACCGTCTTTCAGGGTAATACACACGGCTACAATCAGAAGGTGGGTCTTGCTACGCATTTACAGAAGCGGGTTTAGGAACAAAGCGCCTTCCAGGTCAGAGCGGGGAGGACGAGAAGCAGGTCCACGCGGAAGCGCCCGCCCCGCGCATGCGCACGCTGACGGAGCGGCGGCGGCCGGCGCGCGGGGCGGCGGCCTCTCCTCCCCTCCCTGCTCTGCAAGCCCGCCCCTGCGCCGGAGGAAGCAGCTGATTGGCCAGTGCGGGCCGGGCTCGGGGCGGGGACTGGGTGACTGGCAGTAGCGCCCCGGGAGAGCCAAGCTCGGGAAGGCTGCGGGCGGCCGCGCGGCCCAGGTGAGTGGGGCCGGGGCTGAGGAGAGCGGTTGGCGTGGCGCGGAGGCGGCGCTCGTGGGCCTGCGGGCGGCGGGGAGCGCCGGTAACGGGGTGGCGGTGGAGGAGCCCCGGGCTCCGTGGGCCGGCTGGGAGCCTGCGCCGCGGCCGACTCGCCCCGGACCTCGGACCCAACGCGAGCACTTCTGCTCCTGCCCGCCGCCTTTGGGCGCGCCCTCCGGGGCCCGCGGTGCGAGCGTCCGCCGCGGGTCCCGGAAGGCTGTCCGGTGCGGCGGCTCCCGGTGCGTCGCGCTGCCTCCTGGGACTGGAGCGGCGGGCGGCGCGGCTGCGGGCGCCCCGGGGTGCTGGGAGCCGCCCGGGAGCTCGCCCGGCCCGCCCCGCGGGGCCTCCTCCCGCGCCGGGCTTGCGTTAAGCCCCAAAGAAGGCATCGTCCTCGGGACGCTAAAAACGCTTTTTATCGTGGAAATCTTCAAACACGGAGGTCGAGGGGAGTGTGTGACGAGCTGGGCGAACCCCTCACCCGGTTTTAACAGTTGTCACACGGGGTCGGGCTTGCCACCCGCCCCCCCCCCCCCCCGCCCCGCCCCGGATTATTTGCAAGTAAATCCCAGACTTTTAATCTCTCCTAGAAATGTCTTCGGCTTTGTCATGGTCATTGCTAATCAGTCGCTTCCTGGAGGGATGGAGTAAAACCGGGCTCCCTTGAGAGTGTAGACAGCGCTGCCGGAGTGTGGTCGTGTCTCCGAGCACTTTCACTCCCCCAAGTCCGGTTCCAGGATAGCTGAAAACAGAGGGCCCAGCCAGTCTGGTCTTGGCAGTAACATATGGCTTTGGGGCAGTAATGTTAGTATTGATCATTTCTTTCCGTGTAGCACTTGGTATGTATGAAGCGCTGGAAAGTGTTCCCACCTAGTCATTTCGTTTTTACAAAAGCTGCGTGAAGTAGGTATTATCCCATTTTATAAGTGAGAGAAAAGAGACGCTAAGCAGTTTGGCCAAGGTCGCACAGATGTAGTAAGGGGGGAAGGCTGAGGGGCTGGGGTTCGGGATGTCAACCCTGGTCACTGCCAAATTCTTGCTCTCTCAACCGTAATTGAAGAATTGTGAAATAAATGTAACTGCTGTGGATTATTACTGTTGAGCTATAAATACATAAGGGGGGGAAAACCCTGGAATTTAGGAGTATGATAGTAAGATAGGTATTTTTATTTTTGTCTCAGATGGTAAAGGGTTAATGGAATTGATTTTAAAATCAAAGTATGTAAATGTAGATCAATATATACAAGTGTTTAAAATTTCTATAATATATAGAAAGGAAAGGGAACTCAGTTAAAGGGGAAAGGAAACCAGGAAAAATACACCCCAATGAATAGTCTCTACCTCCTTTGGCATTTAGAATGTACCAGATATTTATATTGAATATTTTATATCTTTTATCTTCTCAATCTTCTGCTATTTCTTTTTTTTAAATGTTTATTTTTGAGAGAGAGAGCACACAAGAGGGGGGAGCGCAGAGAGAGAGGGGGACAGAGGCTCTGATGTGGGCTCTGACAGCAGAGAGCCCGATATGGGGCTTGAACTCACGAACCTGAGCCAAAGTCAGACGCTTAACCAACTGAGCCGCCCAGCCCCTCAATCTTACAGTATTTCTAAGACAGTATCTTTTTTCAAATCATGTTAGAGGAGTAAGAAACTAGGAAGAGACAGCTGGACTTTGAGAAGACAGCAGGGTAGACCAGTTAAATTGAAGTTTAGGATCCCTACTGTAAGGGATTAATTCAGAAGTCTAGAAGTAAAGTTAGATTCACATGTGACGTAATTTGAGTGCCAAGTTTAAGGAGTTTGAACTTGAACAAAACAGTGACTCACTGATTGCAAGCATCCCTTAGGAAGAGTGAATTGGCACTCTCAAGGACGGCTTCACCTGAGATCTGAAAAGATTATTGACTTGACCCGGTGAATATATAGGAAAAAAATGGAGGGGAATGGTTGAATTTACACGTATAAGGCAGGAAATAGAGGGGGGAAAAATAGCCTGAATAAGAGGGATGGAAAGATAGCATGGTTCTGAAGTGCTGGTAAACTTCAGTTTTGACAAGTTTATTTCCCTAGGCAGTTTTTAAGAATTTTTCTTACTGAACTGTAGTTGATGTGCGATTTTGTATTAGTTTTAGGTGTACAACATAAGTGATTTGAGATTTATATCTATTAGAAAATGATCACCAAGTAAGATTAGGTATTGTCACCAAACAAAGCTATTGCAGTTTTATTGACTATATTCTCTGTGCTATACTTTACATCCCCATGACTTACTAATTTTATAACTGGAAGTTTGTACCTCTTGTATTCCTTATTTCACCTCCTCTGGCAACCCGGAGGAGTTGTTCTATCTATGAGTCTGTTTTGCTTTGCTTGGTTTGTTTGTTTTTGTTTTTTTTAGATTCCACATATAGGTGAAATCATACATTCTCTGACTTATTTCACTTAGCCTACACTCTAGGTTCATCCATGTGATTGCAAATGGCAAAAATGCCATTCTTTTTATGGCTGAGCAATATTCTGCTGTATATACATACCACAACTTTATCCATGCATTTATCAGTGGACACTTAGGTTGCTTCCATATCTTGGCTATCGTAAATAATGCTGTAATGAACACAGGGGTGTATATATCTTTTTGAATTAGTGTTCTTGTTTTGTTCCGATAAATACCCAGAAGTAGAGTTGCTGGATGATACGGTATTTCTATTTTTAATTTTTTGAGCAACTTGCATACTCTTTTCCTTAGTGGCTGTACATATTTACATTACCACCAATAGTCACAAGGGCCCCCTTTTCTCCACATTCTTGCCAACACTTGTTCTTTCTTTTTTTAATGATCATTAATAATTTGTTTAAAGTTTTATCACATTAGCAGGCATACTCAGATGTCACGGGAAATTTTGATCTCATGAGGATTTCTATAAAAGTTACAGTATAGTTACATACTTAAAATTTTTTTTTTAAATGTTTATTTCTGAGAGAGACAGAGACAGACAGACAGACAGAGACACAGAATCCGATGCAGGCTCCAGGCTCTGAGCTGTAAGCACAGAGCCCAATGCTGGGATCCACCCCAAGGACTGCAAGATCATGACCCCAGCTGAAGGTGGATGCTCAATTGACTGAGCCACCCAGGCATCCCTAGTTATGCTTAATGATGAAATATTTATTTCCCTCCATGAGTTAAGAAATGAGACAAAAATGACTGCTGTCAACACTTCTGAACAGTTCAGTAAAGCCAGGAAAAAGACAAGGAAGTACAAAATTTGGAAACATGATATGGTTGTCATAAAAATTTGAAAATATACTTTATTAGAACTAATTAGTACATATTGAAAATTAATAAAATTATACAAACCATAAAACTTGTAGTAGCTTTAAAAAGCCCCTAATATTGAAGAATAAATGTAATTAAATATTTGCAAACCCTCAACATGGAAAACTACAAAATGTGATAAAAATTAAAGTAGACTTAAATGAGGGTTGTGGAAATTTTGTAAATTGGGTTTGAATATTGTTAAGGTCTCATTCTCCCCAATTTGTCAATTCTCCCCAGATTTATCTGTAAATTTACTGTGATTCTCATTAAGCATAGATTTGGTTTTGTAGCAATTGAGAGATGTGGCAGTTTCCCAAATAAGACCAGAGTATGTAAGACCAGAAGACCAGAAGCAATAATGTTCTAAAGAAGAACAAAGCCAAAGAACTTACACTACTGGATAGCAAAACAATACAGAGCTATAATTAAATGGAACAGTGTTACAGAACAAAGTATTCAGAATTTGATTCTGATGGTGCTTTCAGTAACCTGTGCTGAGGCAACTGAATATCCATATAGAAAACAACCAACTTCATGCTAATCATAAAAATGAATTTCTGGTGTACCTAGAGCTAACTATGCAACGTGAAACAAAACTTTCTGAAAAAGATATAGGAGAATATCTGCATGATCATGGTATTGATAGAGATCGATTTGCTAAGGACACAAAATACACTAAAAAAGCATGCGGAAGGGGCAGAGCAGAGAGAGAATTCCAAGCAGAGTCTGTGCTGTCAGTGCATAGCCCAATGTGGGGCTCAAACTCCGTGAGATCATGACATGAGCCGAAGCCAAGAGCCAGACACTTAACCGAGGGAGCCACCCAGATGCCCCTTAAGATGTTAAGTAATCTCTATACCCAATATGGTGCTTGAAATGGATCATATGGTAACTCTATTTTTAATTTTTTGAGGGCCCGCTCTGTACCAATTTACATTTCCACCAACAGTGCATGAGGGTTCCTTTTTCTCTGCATTCTTGCCAAACATTAGCTATCGCTTGTCTTCTTGATACTAGCTATTCTGACTGGTGTAAGGTTGATATTGATGCTTTGATTTGCATTTCCCTGATGATTTAATGATGTTGAGCATCTTTTCATATGTCTGTTGGTCAACTCTATGTCTTCTTTGGAAAAATGTCTATTCTGGTCCTCTGCCCATTTTTAAATCAGATTGTGTTTTCTTGGTGTGGTGTTGTATGTATATATTTTGGGTCTTAACCCCTTATATCATGTGCAGGTACCTTCTACCATTCTGCAGATCACCTTTGATGCTTTCCTTTCTTGTGCAAAAGCTTTTTAGTTTGAAGTAGTTCCAGTAGTTTATTTTTGCTTTTGTTGCCTTTGCCTGAGGAGACAGGTAGCTGTACCAAAAAATACTACTCAGACTGATGTCCAAGAGTTTACTGCCTGCTCTTTCTTTCAGGAGCTTTATGGTTTCAGGTCTTACATTTAAGACCTTTATTCTATTTTGAGCTTATTTTTTGTTTATAGTGTAAGAAAGTAGTACAGTTTCATTCTTATGCATGTACATGTCCAGTTTTCCTAACACAGTTTATTGAAGAAACTGTCTCTTCCCCATTGTATTTTCTTGCCTCTTTTGTTGTAGATTAATTAACAACATATGGTTTATTTCTAGGCTGTCTATTCTGTTCCATTGATCTCTTTGTTTTTATGCCAATACCATCTAGTTTTGATTTCTATAGCTTTGTAGTATAATTTGAAATCTGGGAGCATAGGGGCGCCTGGGTGGCTCGGTCGGTTAAGCGTCCGACTTCAGCTCAGGTCATAATCTCACAGTTTGTGGGTTCGAGCCCCGCATCGGGCTCTGTGCTGACAGCTCAGGGCCTGGAGCTGCTTCAGATTCTGTGTCTCCCTCTCTCTCTGACCCTTCCCTGCTCCCACTGTCTCTCTCTCTCTCTCAGAAATAAATAAAACATTAAAAAAAAAAAGATATCTGGGAGCATGAAATCTCCAGCTTTTTTTTTTTTTTTTTCTTCAAGATTGCTTTGGCAATTGGAAGATCATTTGTGGTTCTGTACAAATTTTAGGATTATTTGTTTTTGTAT